AGATGGCCTGACAATATCAAAAGAAGCAGCAAGTGTCAACCCTTTGCAGCGTCAAAACTGCAAAAGTAAAAGACTTTGCTTTGAGGAGAAAGCCATACAGCACCTTGTTCTAGAATGGCAGCAGCCACACTATATTCCACCGTGGCAGACCCTAGAGAATTTGTTCCTCCGATTTGGATTCAGAGTGCCCAGTTATTCAGGTACTCATCCCTACAACAAAGAATCAGCAAAGCCTTGCTGTTGCTCTAGCTGGCAGTGGACAATGTATCATCCATGTGGCATAGGTTTTGGGTGCATGTAGAATGCAAGAGTTATAAGATTAAATGTTTCCTCCCAGATTTCAGAAGGTTTGGGAGGCCAAACAGTGTGCCCCTGAGAGGGCAATGTATTAAGCTGTGAGGGTTAATCCAAAGATGCACTGGAGACTGCAGAAGTTTGGAGAAGCCAGGAACATGAATCATCTAAGGAAAGCTACAAGCAGGGAACAAAATGGGCCTAAGCGAGAAGCTCTCCCTGGGAGATACAACCAGGGAAGTGCCACAGGAGTAGACTCATGCAAGCTTTTAGGAGCTCATAACTTGCCACAAATTCCTTTGGATGTTTTACATGGAGCTACAGGATTTAATGCTTGCCTTATTGGAGTTTGGGCTTGCTTTGTTCTTGTTCCTGTGCATTCCTTTGTATTAGTGTGTTCTGAATGTTGAAAGTGTTTACATTTTTTTCATTTGTACAGAGATTCACAGCTAACAGTTTGCCTTACCTCTGGCAGGAGACTTGGGACTTGGACTTTTCAATAGTGCTGAAACTTTAAGATTTTGACAAATCCTAGAGACAGACTAAATGCCTTTTGTATAAGGGAAATGCATTATTCTTTGTTTGCAACTAGATATCCCCCCAAAGTTTCTTGTAGTCATGGGATTAGGCTTCTCAAATTTGTCACAGATTCATGGTCCAATCCTGGTATTCACACTGGAGTTCTATTAGTTAAACTCTCACCAAAAAGACTGGTCACAAATCAAGGAATTTGAAATTTGATTTAAGGTTGGGATTTAGCTCAACAGCATAAGCACCATTTGAAAGTTGATGATAAATATCCTCTTATAACACAGTGATTAAAAGTCCATCACCATCCCCAAAATTTGAGAAGACAACCATTATAAAACAGCCAGACTTAAAAGTGACATCAAAGGAAGAACAGAAAAGATGTAATGGATGCGAAAATACCCAGGACCCAGTTGAACAAAAAGGAAAGAAATATTAGGAAACCAGTATGATGCCAGTGTTGCTACTGCTGAGGTCCATCATGATGTGTCAGTTCCACAAAGAAAGAGTGAGAAAATGAATAACCATCACTTTCCTATTAGGAAAAATGTAAAACTTGATGGTAGTGGGCCTGCCTTTGCCTTTGAGAAAAGTAAAGACAAATGAAAATGAACAACGGAGGTCCACGGAATCTGTGATTTCCCATGTTTAAGAAGGCGAATTTCCTTTCTTGTGGTCTACTGCAAGTGAAGAGTGGTTGCCAGTTGCATAACACAGATGAAGATGGGAAAAATTCCTCAAGGTCAAAAGAAAAATAAATACTGTGGAGGATTTGACAGCTTATCTCAGTCATCTGAAACAGCCTCAGATGATAGTAAATAGCCTTAGCCTAAGTATGAGAAGATGTTGCTGCTGTCTGAGTGACTTAGAGTGGAGTGCACTGGCAGCTAATCCAAGAGGCAGGATTTCTGCCTTACAAAGCCTCACAGCTTAGTGAGGCGCTGAACAGGTATATAAAGGTGGTCCCACATAAGGGTCAGAAGCTTATGCCAATGGCCTCCAGACCATTTGACTTTGCTGACGTGTTGTTTCTGAAAATTTGAACCATTCTGAAAGGAAGATCTGACTTGGACCCCACTGTATGGATTCTTATGGTAAGTGACAAGGTTGGCAGCATCACGCTCATAGTCCCGGTGCCACTCTTGGTGGTCAGAGCAGACCATGTGGTCCCTTTGCAAAGGGCACAGTTTTGTCAGTTGGCCAGTCCCAGCCCTTGCTGTTGTTCCTCCCTGGATCGAGGGGAACTGGATCTGCACACCCCTGGGCTGCATCCCTGTAAAGAAAGCAGTGTGCTCTGGGAGGGACACTGACCATAGCCAAGGTGCAGGAAAAGGAACAGAAGCCAGAAAGCACTGTGATTCTTACAGTGTACAATATATTCTGTATTCTTACAGAATATAGAAAGCACTAATGCTTATGTGGAAGAGCTGTGTAGGGCATTCCATTGGCGCACCCTAGATATCCCAAGGGGATAGACTCCTCAAACTGCCCTTCTTATGTGCAAAACAGAAGCCACTTTCATGAGGAGGCGCAAGATCCTTTCCAGGGGATGCTGCATGTCCATGTCCAAAGGCACTGGCTGGGTTCAGTCCCAGGCCTTCAGTGTCCTGTTGTCGTGAGAGAATGAAAGCAAAAGGTACACTTATATAAAACTGTTCTTACATCTACCAAAATCCTAGCTTCTGAGTCATGCTTTGGGGTGGCTTTGTGTGAACACCTTCCTGCAGACAGATCACTCACGAGACGACAAGTGCTCTGGGCATTTTGCCTCCTTTTGAAACTGCTGACTGCCGGTCCAGCTCATCTCTTTCTGGAAGTCATCTCTGTGGCCATCCATATTTCAAGGTTTCCATTGGTCATTAGGAATAATTTTTACCAGTCAGCTTTTCCAAGGCTGACAGTGTGTCAAACCAGTGAGGAAAGCAAATACACACTTCATGATGCCAAAACATGGCTTGTCTCAGAGGGTTTGAGTTTATCATGACACTGTGATGTTAAAGTGTCTTGTTCTGAGACGCTGAAGAGTTGGGGTGTGGCAGCCTTTGAGGTCCCTGGTATTTCTGGAGGTGAGAACATTTTTGTTTCTTTTGCATACAACTGTGCATGGGGATCTGGGTCACATGGCAGCTAATGCCACCGATCCCAGGCAACTTTTGCTCATTAAAAATTTCCCAAATGGCTACTTGGGGGCCTTTCAGAATTTGGGAGAGCTGTCCGTTGTTATAGTAACTGGTCCCCTGCCGACATGTTGGCCTTGAGCTGCCTGCCAAAGCTCTTGAACAGGCTGACACAGTCACCAGACAAAAGCAGGGAGGGGTGCACAGCTAAAGGTTGCCATTTACACATGCTCCATGGCACTTAAAAGACAGCACTGGTTCTGTTAGGGAGGTGGTGGGCAGACAGGTTTTTAAAGTAAGCTGCCTTTTCAGGAAGGGAAGGCTGCTTCTATCTTTGTTTAGTCAGTTTTTGTTAGTAACTACCCTTGAATTTCTGAAAATTTAGTATTCTCCCCCAGGGCAGACGGTTCTGTAGGTTTCCTGAGGTACCCCCCTAATTGTTCCAGGTATTAGTTATTGTTTGTATGCTATTTGCTTCCCTGCAAAGCACTTTCAGTTAAAGGTGGTAGTTGTAAGAGCCTCTGATTATGTGTGAGAAAAAGCTGCGGAGCTACCGGCTCTGCTCCAAAATTTCTGAAAGAGTGAATCTGGCAGAATTTAGAACAGGGCTAAGGGTTGAGAAAAAGTCTAAATATTTTAGGAAGCTGCAAATTGCAAGTTTTTATGGAAATCTGTATAATCATTCCAACATTACAGATTAGCGTTCTTTGCTGCATGGTAGATTCCTGCCATTTGGAGGACAGTTGTGGTCCTTGTGCCTGGATGTGCTCAGGAGAGGGACAAGAGAAGTCCTGAGCCACAGCACTCCCTTCCCCCTTGCCTTGGTTCCACAGCAGTCCCTTCCCCCTCGCCTTGGCCTTGGTTCCAGTTGTAATTTCTCCAGATTTTGGCTCCTGGTCAAGCACTTGTACTCAATACACAGCCTAATGATTATTAGAGTACACCTAAAGGACGGCTTGTTTGAAAGGAGTAGAAAAACCTGACTCAAAAATTATAAGATGTTCGTTCCTGCAAGTATAAAGCTTCCCAAAGAGGAAGCATTGGCTCTTAAGTGGAATCACCTGCCGACTTCACAGTTGAGCACTCCCAAAAGAGAATCCCTCTGTGCTCTGAGTTCATCTTGACTGCTGTAGCAACACTGTTAGGAACTAGTGGGAATCATTTCAGTGTGAATCCTACAGCCCTAACCCTAGGGATTTTTTGGGGGGGCAGGCAGGTCAAATATAATTAGACACTTTCATGTGCTCTTCTGATGAAATTACATCAAAGATGCTGTGGTTCTTTACCTTTTATTTGGACACTGGATATAGGATTTTTTCGTTGTTTGGTGATGGCACTAGGGACTTAAACCAAGTCCTTGTCCCTGAGCTACATCACTAGTTGTTTTACATTTGCAGTCTTTAGACACTAATCATATTAAATCACTAATCTGCCCATGCTGCATTTGAACATTCACTCCTCTTGCCACAACCTCCCAGAATGCTGGGATTATGAGGGTAGAACACTATGGCCATCTTCCACTTAATCCATCCTAAAAGCTTGCCCATTGCTGCCCCTGTCTCCCGTAGATGGTTCTTCTGTGTATCCTGCACTCTGTTGTATATTGGGCAAGTAGGTGCCCAGAGACAACAGCAATGTGTGGGGAAAAGACCACAGCCCAACATGGTTTCTTGGTCCCCAGTGGATCCCACCAAGCTGTGCTGATCTGGAGGCATCCTCTTTGCTGAAGGTGGAAAACAAGGAATCCGAATGGGAGATGTTAACAGTGACAGCTGACCCTTTAAGACAAGGGCAGTGTGGCCCTCTGAGACATCCAGGAGCTTTAAAGAGCAAGCACAGTGATTCCCTCTCCCTATACCAGCATACAGACTTTCTATCCATCTTGTGTGTGAGCTTCCCTTTTTGGGAAGACCCCACCTGAGGCCCAGGGAAGGGGGAATGTCTGTGTCAGTTGGGAGGGAGGGAGGGCATGGTTTGGAACCCTTGCTGGCCAATGGAAAATATTGTCTTCTACACCTGTTCTCTCTCTCTCTCTCTCTCTCTCTTTTTTTATCCATTTAGAGGGTGTAACAAAATAAAGTCCAAGGGCTTTCCCAGACGTTTCCGTGAAGTGCCTTCTTCTGGGGTGAGAGGAGAGAAGGGGAGCAGGTGAGGGGGAGGTCTCAATGGCCATGACCAGCTTGCTGAATTTGTGTTTTATTGCCATGGGGATTAAAGTCTTCTACACCGTGACTGCTGTCACTCACCTGTTCTGCCCTAACTCCCAAAAGTAAGACTTGCAAATGCCACTTCAGCTTGTGGGTAGCTCATACCAGTTACAGAATGCCCTGTGGGTGCTTGCTTTGCTTTGTTTTGTGGGTCGGGGAGCAAGTTTTTGTTTCTCAATTAATATATATGGGAGGGGTGTTCTGTGTTTATGTGTATGTATGTGTGCTGCATCCAAAATTTCAGATGTTTGCATGTTTTATAGTTTTGGTTAAAAAATCATAATGCATGCATTTAGCCTTTGAGTAGAAATAACTTTTGGAAACTTAAATGTACACATAGTTTCTGGATTAAGAGTAGGGGGATGAATGAACAAATATGGATATATACCATGTGCTTCTCTAGAAAATAAGATGAATTTAAGGGGAAAAAAAGTGAAAACAATCTGGCCATCAGGGTACATGCCTGTAATCCTAGTACTCTGGGAGACTCAGGCTGGAGAATCAAAAGACCCTTTCTCAAAAATTTTAAAAAGGGTTGAGGATATAGTTTAGCACATTGGCCCTAGGTTCAACTCCTACTACTACCAAAAAAAAAAAAAAACCAGTAAAAACACATGAATTGTGGATAGTCTAAATATTTCAAAAACTTATCATCCTGGAAAGATTTATAAGATGTGTTAAAAATCATTACTTGACTATAGTCTTAGTCACCACACTTGCACCTGTTGATAATATTTATATAACGCTAATCACAGGCAACCTGTGTAATATTAATAGGAAACTCTTTTACATTGAAAGAGTAGGGTAATTTACTAATCATTATTTTTTTTAAATTTTATTTAAAAGGAAAAAGAGAAAAAACAAAACAAAGCGGTGTAAGGGTACAAGTAATACAGAACTACAAAAAAGAAAAAAAAATAGTAAGAAATCACCAGTTAATAGATTACATATTATCATCTTAGAGACAGTTGCTCAAGTCACAGTATCAGCATACAAAGTAGACATTCAAACAGTGAGACTGCAAACAGTTGTGTTCAATGATCCAACCAAAAATATTAATATGGTCAGCTATTTAACCCCCCTAAACACACTTGCTGTTGTATCTTTTAGAGCACTTTTTTTCCTTCTCTTTTTTACAACAAAATTTACACATTTTGGGTTTTATTACTCCTTAGTTCTTATTACTTTTTTTGTTTGTTTGTTTGTTTGTTTGTTTGGGAGAGAATAAAGTCAAATATGGCAAAACAAAGCTGTCAGTCAAAACCAAGGATAGACATAGCACATGATGTAAAAACAGAGTACAAGGTTATCAACAATGGTTACCATAATGTCTTTTGTTTCCTTAAAAAGAATTGTCTATCTCATTATGTATTATAAAGTTGAACAAAACAGTAGAGAACAAGACCAATAAAACTTAAGCATTGTAAACATTACAGGACTTCCAAAGGAGACAATAGTCAAACCAGAATGGGCATCTTAGTGAATCTTATTGCCTTCAAAGTAGTTGCCTATACCCTCAAACTATACCCTCAGATCATACAGAATGGAACAGAGTCTGATCAGTCAAAACAAGATAGTGGGAGTATTACAGGACTTCAAAACAAGTTAATAGGAAATCAAAAAAAGTTACTATTATATATCCTGCTAATTTTTTTTAATTTTTCCCCTTAATTAAAAAAATACTACTAATCATTATTGTACCATGCAATGAGTAGTACCTTTTTACTTTCAATGAACCAATTTACAGTCAACATTTATACATGGGATGACTTGTCTCTGTTCACTGTAGATAATTGAGATATAATTTTATATCTAATTGATCTATCCATTATAATCAAATATACCTGCGATATCAGAAGGTGTATAGTACAGGAATTATGACAATTTAATGAGAAAGTCCATGATCTTTATTTTATGCTGTACAATGGTGGCATGTTGTAAAGAAATGTTTACTAGGACTAATTTGTTTTTATGGTCTGTTTTTCATACTGATGTTTTTTATTTCTAATGCATTTTCAAAATTCCAAAAGTAAAACTAATAAGATCTTGAATTGAGAGAGCCCTTAGACATCACTTGAACCTTATGGTTACTACCAAGTCCCATTAGAATGCTTCTTTACTGTGGTACTTTTAATAGCCAGCCTTCTTTAGTCAGCAGCACAAAGATAAATGCACATCCAATTTCTAAGTCTCCCCAAAAGTGATAGAAATACAGTAACCTGGTAGACCATCTCCTTAATGTGTTTGGCTTCCACCATGGAATAGGACTTGTCCCAGTCATAGTTTTGATCACCTGAGAATGCATAGAGACTGTATTTGTTATTACAGAGCACTCAGACCCTCTGGTGTCTTCTCTGATTGTGAGGAACAGAATCGCAGATCAGTTTCATGTGGGCCTTAGACTTGAGAACCATTCAGTAAACAGCAAGTACTTACAAAATCTACATGACTATGACTCATATTATTTTTAGTATAGGTTTTTGTTGGAGTGTTTGTTTTAGTGTGTTTGTTTGTTCTTTTTTGGCACTTTTGGGACTCAAATTCAGGATCCTGCATATGCTACAAGAGCACTCTACTACTGATCTATGTCCTCTGCCCAATTTATTACTTTTACAGTAGGGTAGCAACTACAAAGGAAAGATTTACATTCAGAGACATATATGTTCTAACTACAGCTATAACACTTCCTAGTTTTAAGGAAGCCTTCTCTGCCTCATTTAAAGAAATAGTTCTATCAGTAAGTTCCTCTTCATAGGATTTCTGTGATGATAAGTTAAGGCAGCCTACATATGATGCTTCGTGTGTAGAATGTGCGGCCCGATTGACTAGGTTAAGAACAGAGCCTCTGAGGAGGTAAAGTATTTTGCTGAGCCACCCTACTGGTCTGGTGAGCTGTGACGACCCATCCATCTGAGTCCTAAGCATCCCCCACTCCCCATTCAGTGCTGTGCTAGGCATTTCATGTAGGAGACAAGGACCAGATGGAGATCTGTCCTTAAGGAGCCCCAAGTTTCTGCTTTTCCTTACTGGGACACCCTGCCAGCCTCTGACCCCAGAACCTACAATTCCCCATTCATCCTGCTGGTCTGTAGAGTTAGGTGATGTGCCATCACCTAAAGCCAGCTTCTACTCTCCCAGGTGCTCTTGACTGCTGCCTCTGGCCCAGTCTCATCTTCAGTCCTCCTTCTAGGAGGAATTCTTTCCCACCCTTCTCCTTCTTCAAGAAAAGCAGGGATGCATCATGGCAAGGTCTTGCACCAGCTTTCCTCCCTGCCACTTTTACCTTCTTCTGTCCTTTTTATGTGCACCCCCTTTCCCTCCACTTCCATGCAAAAGCCAAACTAGGTGTGCCAAGATTCCCCAATATGCCTCAGTAGCAACCCTTCCACAGCTACAAGAACTGTTAAGGACTTCCTGCCTAGGAATTTGAGGAGGCCTTAGGTTTTATTGCTTTGATTCCTAGCACTCATCTTAGCCCTGCCCAGCAGCAGGAAAGGATACCTAATTCCATTAAGCAAAGAGCAGATAGAATACCTCAAATCACTAACATTGATTATCAGGAGTGAAGGATACAAGAAAAGCTATAAAACTCAAGTCTCACCTGGAGTGACAGCATATGCCATTATTGCAAAACACCATGGGGCATAAAATTAAGTTCCACCTGGGCCACTTAGCCAGACCCTGTCTCAGAGAGGGCAGGGAGTAGGGAAAGGTAGCTTCTGATGTAGCTCAGTGGTAGAGCACCAGTACTACCAAAAAAAAAAAAAAAAAACCAAAAGTTTAGTTCTCTAAAAAGCTAATTTAAGTTTTAAATAGGCGATATTGGACTCATTTCAAAATGACATACATTGTTATGTATGTCTCCCTCCAGCACCTTGCCCTTGGCCTCACAAATAGGTAGCCACTATCAATAGTTACTAATCTTTCAGAAATGACAGTATATAAAAACAAGTATAAATAGACCTATTTCCCCTTTCAATAAAATGCTGGATGCAACACTATTGTACCTTGCTTTCATTTTTTTTTTATTTAGTGTGATTTTTCTCTATATATTTTCCAAAAAAGCCTGATGTGTTTTTGGCAGGTGTGTTAGGATTTTCTTGAGCAGCCTCCTGAGGCTGTCTTTCGAGTGCATCAAACAATATAGTTCCAAGCAATAACTTTCTTTATATGTCATAACTTTCTTTATATGTCATTCTGCAAGTGTATAACTGTGGGATAAAATAAAGAAATTAGCTGCATAGGTCTGCAGATTGGTAGAGCTCTTACCTTGCATGCACAAGGTCCTGGGTTCAATCCCCAACACAAAAGAAGGAACAAAGGAAGGAAGGAAGGACGGGAGGGAGGGAAGGAAGAAGGGAGGGAAGGAAGAGAGAGAGAAAAAGAAAGAAAGAAGAAAAAGGAGGAGGGAAGAAAGGAATTAGTGGCATCACAGGGTGCCTAGACTGCAGTTTAGATGGATGCTGCCAAATTACCTGGCTCTGTGGGGACTCAGGGCGGTTTCTGTGAGCAGTACATGAGAATGCCTGTTCTACTCTCTGCAGCGTGCCTGCTGTATTTTGGCCTTTTTGTAACTTCATGGATGAAGGAGAAATGGGTCAGCATAATTTTAAGTGTAATACTTCATTGAGAACGTGAAACTGTTGAGTATTTTGTTTTGATTTTTTTCTGTATATTTTGCCAATTTTCCCTTTTGATTGTTGGTCTTTTTCCTAATCAAATCAACAGTAAATTCTTAAATTGTTGGGAATTTAACCTAGCTGATGATAGGATTTCTTTTTTAAAAAAAATTTAAACAGGAAAAATAAATAAAAATACAAGACAGCTTCAAAACAGCCTAGTAGGACAGTGACAATAGTCAATACATTGTGTATTGTTATGTTCACACTAGTTGTTCAGAGTACAAGATATAGGCATGAAACATTGGCCAGAAAATTACTA